AGAATTGAGCCCACAACCTGGCCATGTGCTCTGATTAGGAATCGAACCACTATTGCCATGCCAGCCGGGCTGCTGATGGATTTTTATGTCATTAACTTTTGTAACACCGAGGCTGACTTGATTCATTCATTCAGTGGATGCTTATTTATTAGTACCATATGTCAGGCTCTGTGCTAAATGCTAGGAATAAGTCAGACATAGTCTCCTATCCTCATGAAGCTTAAATTTTAGAGGGGAAGAAAGATAATAGGCAAACAAATAAATAAAAAGTGGAAAATACTGTGAAAGAAACAAAGCACTGTGATAGAAAAAGATCCAAAGGATCAGGTATTATTTTAGATAGCACAATGGCGGAAGACCTAGCTGAGGAAGTATCATTTAAGATGAGACCTGGGTCCAGCCAGGCATGGCTCAGTGGTTGAGTGTTCACCTAGGATCCAGGAGATCGGGGTTCGATTCCCGGTCAGGGCACATGCCTGGGTGGCCGGCTGCAGCCAATGAATGACTCTCATCATTGATGTTTCTATCTCTCTCTCTCCCTCCTTTCCTCTCTCTGAAATCAATAAAGATGTATAAAAAAAAAAAAAAGATGAGACCTGAAGTGGGGCTAGGTATCAGCTAAGCCAAGAGCTGGGGGGAAAGTGATCTAAGTAGAGGGCAAAGTATGTGCAAAGGCCCTGAGGCAGAAAAGAAGTTGGTATGTATAACATTCAGGTTGTTCTCATGTCTCTCCATTCCATATATTGTTGTAGTGAACATTACACAGAACCTGTTGCATGAGTATGTCCCTGGGATGGATTCTTGGCATCTTTTTCTCCGTCCCTCTCTAAATTGCTTGCCTTTCAGAACCAGTATCCTCCCTTCCTCCCTTTATCTTTTTCTCAAAATAACTATTAAAAATTTTTTTTGTTCTTAAGGAGAAAAGATAACCGTTTCCCTTTGGCTACGAATTGCCTGTTTTACTCCTGCTCTCCATTCACCCATCCATTCACTCGCTCAGCCTTTACTGAGCACCTGTTCTGTCGCAAGTCTCACGCTGGGCGCTGGAGACTCATCATCTCACCCAGGGCTTCTCAAAATGTGCTCCCGTTGCGCACGAGGGTAACTTGCCGAATCCAAATTCCTGGGCGCCACCCCTTGTTTACTAACTCTCTAGGGGGTGGAATCTGATCATCTGCGTTTTAATAAGTTCCCCAGGTGTGTTTTTTGGAGGGGGGTTGTTTTTTCTAAATCCCAACTAAAACCTTAGAACCTCTGGGTGGAAGGTAAATGGAATTCACAACTCTTAAGAAAATGCATTGATAATTTATGCGCAAAACGCTACGGTAATAACGCCAGGGTCATGGAGAGAAGAAAGAATCCTCTACGGGAATTCAGGTTTACGCAGAAAATTAGACGAACTGCAGTTCTCGGGGCGGATGTAAGACATTCACGAAAAAGAAAAAAAAAGAACATCCTGTGCAAAGACTAGGCGAAAACAGTGCTGTGCGATCAAACGACAGTAAGTAGCTGTGAGCGCGGTGTTGCCTGAGGCAGCTTAGCTAGCGCTGCGCGCCCAAGGGCGAGAAAACCCTAAGCCTGGCGGCCCGGCAGCTGCCGCAGCGACCTGGGGGCGGGTTCGGTTCCCGCCGGTCTCCGGCACCGCCCCTGGGGCTGCGGGTGGAGCAGCGCGCCCGCGCCCGGGGGCCACACACATGCGCAGTGTATAACCGCGAAGCCAAGAGGGAACGACTGAGGACAGCTTTTCTTCTGTGACCAAAACTCCCCTCGCTCGAACCCAGCAACCCTGGCCGTCTCCGTTTCTGGCTAGGAAAATCTTACCGTCCCTAATACAATGCCCCTCGCATTCTGGGCCACTCCGGGACACAGCGGCCCGGGCCCAAGATGGCGGGCGCACCAGCCACAGGGGCGGGACCCTCCGTAGGGCGGGAGTTTGGGGGGCGGGGCCTGGCCCTCGCCGGGTGGTGGACCCCCGCCAGGCCTAAGCACCGGCTTCGGCCGCTCCCGCGCGGAGGAAGCGGCCGGAGATCCGCGGGACCGAGCGTGGTGAGGTGGGGCCTCAGGGGCAGGTGGGAGGTGTCCCGGCTAACGGCCCGAGGTCCGGAGACCGCCGGGCTAAGGCGCCCGGTTCCCCGGGAGGACCCCGAGGCCCACCGAGGGGTTGGGACCCTCCCCGGGGCTCTCGGCCCCTGGCCTCCGCGTCCGGCTGCCGGCGCCACGCTGGGCCCCAGGACGCGCGCAGAAAGGGATCTTCCCGACCCCTGGTCCCTACAGCGGACGAACTCAGGGTCGTCCGACGCGGCGCGGCGCCCTCGGGCCGGCCCTCCGCGTTCCCGGCTCCCAGCATTTTGTGGCTCCCCCTGCCCTCGGGGCTTTGCACGTGCTCTGCCGAAAGCCCGGCCCGCCCCCCCCGCTCTGGAGCTCCCGATTCTCGCGGCCCACCTCAGTCGCCCCTTCCCCGGAAACCTCGCGACCTGTCCGCGGGCGCAGCTCCGGTCGCTGTGGGGTTTTGCGCTCAGCGCCGAGTCGCTCCCTTTACCCCCGTGCGCCTGTGGGGCGTCTGCTTTGCCTTGTCCATCCCTGTCTCCCAGGGTCTAGCACATGATGATGACAGCAATAACCAAGACTTACTGAAGAGCCGCAGAGCGCCAGGTGCTGCCTGAGGCCTAACATGGAAAGGCCCCTTTAATCTCAGCAGTTCCACAGGGTGGATTCCATAGCTTCACATTCTGTGAGGCGTGGAGTCGCAGATCAGCCTGCCTAGAGCTCCACAGCTGCTAAGTGAGCAGAGCAGGGAGAATGAAGGCTTTTCCTCCCAGGAGCGTGCGATAATTTCGCCAGGGGACCTGTGCGTTTGGTAAATTTCTGTTGAGTTGGTCGCATTAGCCCCTGCAGGTACGGAGGCCAGGACTCTGATCGCATTTCACTGAGAAGGCATAGCAAGGAGAAGTGATGTTCCTGAGCGTGCAGGGAAGGGAGTTCATGGCAAAACCAGAGCTACAACTTGCCGACCTTCCTTCAGTCACTCCGTCTGTCTTTGCTCCTTGTCCGCCAGAGGTCTGCAGGCTTCAGCACACACCCCGTAGGAAGTGTCCCTCTCAGAGCTGAGACTCCATAGGCCATGATTTAGGAGGCGGCTTGAGTAATGGAGAGGGCATAGTGTTTGGTGGCAGATTGGGGTTTAATCTTTGACACTCACCAGTTATATCCCTTCCATTTTTTGAACCTCAGTTTTGTTGTCTGTAAAATAGGGGCAATAATCTTATCTCAAAGGTGGTTTGTTTTTCATGAAGACTGCAGATAATCATCGTGAGAGAGTAAAGTGCTATACAAACTATATGACTTGTTTTTTACCTTAGAACGTTGTAGAACTGTGAGCATTTTGCAAGACCATTGGTTACATGGATCATGTTACCTAATGTTCTTATGTTCATTCAGGCATTGTTTTAGGAACTGGGGATACAGCAATCAACAAAACAATGTTCTTGTATTTGGGAAATTTATATTCTGACATGTATATTACACATAATAATCAGGAAGGTACAGATAAGTCATGGTAAGGTAAATAGAAATTTGTGTGAAAGGTGGGGGAAGGATGGTCGTATTTTACTTTGGGTGGTTAGGGAACAACTTAATGAGAAGGTGACATTTGAACAGAGACCTGAAGGTGGTAAGGGAATGAATCATAAAGATATCTGGAGGAAGAGACCCTGAGATGAGTGTGTGGCTTAGTATGTTCCAAGCACCTGCAGCAAGGAGGGCTGAGTGGCTGGAGGGTCATGAGCAAAGGGGGGAGTAAGAATGGGAATTAAAACAATTAGAGACTGGGATCAAATAATTAGGACCCTGGTGGCTATTATAATGATCATGAGTTTTACTCTGAGTAGTATTGGAGGGTTCTGAGTGGCATAATCCGTCACTGTTTTAAAAGGATCACCTTGACTACTCTTTTGAGAGAAAAAAAAAAATACTGGGAGCAAGGTTGGAAGCATGGCTACCAGCTAGGTAACTTTTGCAGTAATCCAGATGTATTAATTACCTACTTTTTTGTGCAAGTGATTACCCCAAAATTTAGTAGCTTGAAACAACAATCATTTATTGTCTCATATGGTTGTGGGTTGGAAATTCAGTAGTAGCTTAGCTGGATGTTTCTGGCTTAGGATCTCCCAGGAGATTGCAGTCAAGCTGATGGCTGCTCTGCTCCCAATGTGGTTTCTTGCCACTGAGCCTCTTCATAGGGCTGCCTGAGTATCCTTAGGACATGGGGGGATGGGGGTACAGCGGTAGGGGGTGGAGCTGTAGTGCCTTTTATGATCTTGTTCTGGAAGTCATTTCTACTTCATTAACTTTATTCAAGCTCACTCTTAAGGGGGAGAAAATTAAGCCCTGAGTCTGGATGAGATTACCTAGGAAATGAAGGTTAATGGAGGACAGATCTGAAGGCTGAGCTCCTGGGCCTCCAACTTTTAGATGGTGGGGAGATGAGGAGAGCCAGCAAAAGAGACTGAAGGGAGAGGCCAGAGGTGGGAGGAGATCAGAGAGAGAAAGAGGCCCCATGTATGAGATTGCTATAAGGAGCTAGCTGCATCTTAATTTTTTTCTGCAGTAAGAAACAAATTGTCTCTGCAAACAAATATATGTAGTTTCTTTGCTCAGAAAATAAAACACTTATGCCCTCAAGTGTTTTTCCTTTTTTGTTTTAAGCAACAGATTCTATTTAATAATAGTAGTCCACATCTTAGTCCTTGCAGCATTTACACCTCTACTCCAAGTTCAGGTGGTGTTGCTTCTATTTTAAGCTTTATCTAAATACTCCTTTTTGAGTATTTTGAGTGAGGGAAGACTAAATACATAATTTATGTCACTCTTCTTTTGCTGTCCACCCCTAGGTTCAGGGTTCAGAGGTTACTGTCCTTCCCAGTCTGGTTCCCAGCAAAAGTAGGAAGTTGTTCATTTCTGTACCACTGGTGGACAGACTGCCTGATACTGAGCTGGAATTCATGAGTATTTATGGGATAAATTAATGTATAAAAGAAGTGATTCTTTTTCCTTTTCCTACAGTAATGATAATGTCTATTCAGTGGTTTACAGTTTACAAAGCACAGTGACATCCATTCCCCATTTGAATGCAATCCAGTCTGTCACCATTTGCCAACTTCTGACCTTTTCCTTTTCTGAGGGGCATTGAAACCTACCTTCTTTTGGAACTGTGCTAGTTTATTTTCTGGCTGATCTGACAGTGTGCTAATAAAAGGGTGCTGAACTGCGTCTTGAAGCTCAGAACTAAATCCCAATTTCAGAAAGATTTCTGATGTAAATTTTCTCTGCCCCCTCCCTCTTTTTATTCTTATCTTTTTTGGGAATTTCAGTTTAATGGGGATTTTGTTGTTGTTTTAATCATAGAACATTTCAAATCATTTTTAAAATAAACTTAACTTTTTAGAACAATTTTAGATTTACAGAAAATTTTCATAGTACAGAGAGTTCCCAGTTTTCCCTGTTAGTGACATCTTACATTAGGAGGGTACATTTGCTGCAATTTCAGTCATTTTCTCAGGTAAAGGGGGCATATAAATAAAATGTGAACAAAATGAAGTTCGTCTCTGTTGGCCTCAGGCTCCTTATTGTCAAATTAGAGGGCTGGACTAAATTTTTAAATAGCTCTAAAAACATTTAATCATCTGCTAAGGTGAAATAATTAAATAATCCCGTTTCTTTACTGAAGTATCACTATCACCTTCTCGAATAATGTTTACATGCCAGTCTTATCCTGAAAGAGTATCTAATATGAGAATTCTAGGAGCTGTGGCGTGGCTTCTTAAACACACATTAGGTTGAACTGCATGAAATTAGCATCCGTACAGCTTTAAAAAATGGGCAAGTATTGGCAATTTCATTAGGTTCAACCTAATATTTGGGAGGGGGGAGGATTCAAAAGAAGGTAAGGGAGGCTTTGGAGCCTCTGAGACTCTCACTGTGTGCAAAAGCTTAGCGAACCGTCAGTATTAGGAGAGAAAAGGCTCCTCTTGGAGCTACTCTTCTTGGTGGTGTTGGCAGTAAGAGCTGTGTCCCAGCAGGTTTGTGCCTCCAACCAGCAGAGAGATTGAGCTAGCATTTTACAGAGCCATGGTGAGTTGGATGACACTGCCGTGGAGGAAAGGAAGGGCAGACAAGGAAGATGAATGGCGTTTCAGGAAGGCTGTCTTAACCCAGTTTACAGGCTAGGAAGAGGCAGCCTGGGATGTTGGTGCCACTCACCTGTTCTTACTAGATGCACTTTCCTTACTGTCTAGCACAAGCTCTGCAGTTGCCCAGGAGGTAATGTAAATTAGTAAACTGAGTTTTCCTCTGTTGTAAGAAAAACACCAGCACAAGCTCAATGATAAACGACGACTGAAATCTATCAGTGTGAGGAAGAGAATAGGCTGGGGTAGGGGGTGGAGACTGTGGTGAACTGGAGAGCATATATTCTATCTAAAGGGGACAGACACTGTTCAGCTGCAGGCAGCTACGCCTCATGGGACTGTGGATCAAGCAAGGGTCACTAGCTATTCTGATTTTCCAGAAATATGAATTGTTATATGGATTTTCCCAGTGGTAAATGTTGGCACCTAATTTGGATTCTTAAAAATTCTTTGTATGGGCCACACAGTGGTTGAAAAGAGCCATCGGGCCACATCTGTAACCTCTGGCCAAGGGTTTAGATCTGTCAGGAGTAAGGCCCACATGCATTTGTTGATGACCTACTAATGACTAAAATGAGAGCTCTTGCCTTTGAGGCACTCACAGATTAGTAGAGGAGATAGACAAGAAGTGAAAAAATGTAATATAGACATTATATTTTCTCTACATATATACAAATATTTTTATTAAATAATATATATTTGATATATTACTATATGTGTATGTATGTATATATGTGTATATGTATATATCTCTACATCTGGGAGTACATGATAGGAAGTGACATTTGAGCCTGGACGCAGGAGATTATTGGATGTGTTTAGAGGCCTAAGAAACACAGAGGTCATGTAGCTGGGTACCCTCATTTTTGGACAAAGAGTGAAGGGGAAGAGGAATGCTCAAGGTCACAGAGCCCACTAGAGGCAGAGCTTGGACTGGCACCTGGAACTGTTCTTGACCACCATGCCTCCCCCTCCCCAGGGTATATCTAAAGCTCACTGGGTAGGGTGGCCTCCTCTGCCTGCAGGTAGCCCATTGCCCTGTTTTGGCCCAGCTCGTGGTGGGTGAGGAGGGTTTTACCATCCTGCTGAAGCTGGTTCCTTCTTCCCACTCTGTTGGATCTCCTACCTGAAATGCCTGCCACTCCATTTCTTTGTCAGAGAGTCAGACTGTTTGTGTTCAAACCCCTAATCAACCAAATGCCAACTGTGTGAACTAAGACAAATTGCTTAATTTTTCTAAGCCCCAGTTTCCTCATCCATATATAGAATTATAATCATACCTATACAGAAGTGTGATGGGAAGGCATTGGAACATTTTAAGATTCTTATGATGACAAAATGGCATAGTGCTTGTAAAGAACCTATGATGTGACTGACCTTAGAAGCACTTAGCAAGTATTAAATGTGATGAAGATGATCCACACAGTTCACAGTCCCCAGGTTGGTTAATGCCTTTCCTTGGTGTTCCCGTACTATCCTGCGGTTTCACTATTATTATTGCACATACTACATTACACAGGTTCTCAAAAAGCATCGTTTTGTTCAGCGTTGTTTGGTTATAATGTTGAGGTGATGCTGTAGGAACTTAATTCTTTATATCAATTAGCCTATGGTAAAATTGGTTTTATTATACGTCATTTTACTTAATCATAGAACCTACAAATGGCATTAAGTGAGAACTTGCTGTATTGTAATTGTATCTTTCTCCCCTGATAGACTAATAGCACCTTCAGTGATCCATTCAACAGATGTTTATTAGGCACTGTGCCAGGCACTAGGGATGCAATGGTAAGCCAGGAGCTCTTGGTCTAGTACAGAGTTCCAAAAGACATGCCAGAAAACACTAGTCCTGTAACTTGTTTCATGGTCAAATAAATTTAGGAAACGATGCTCATCAAAGGCCTCCCTTAGAGATTGGGGTCCATCTTAGTATTTTAAAGGCTCTGAGGGAACTTATAGTACAGGTACATACTTTGTCCAGCCCAGTTTTGTCAGACTTAATGAGTATTTGCTGAATAAATTTGAGTCTTGCAGACAGTCCTTTCAACTCCGCTTTGTGCTTTGGTCCCCAGCTCGAGAGGAGGTCCAAGTGGCACTGCAATGATTAGAGACCCTGCTGAGAGCCAACAGCCTCTGGCTGCATAGGGGCCTTTGGGCTTACTGTCTGCTGCCTCCATGGAGACAGGAGGCCCTGGGTTGAACAGTATGAAGCCCCAGTCACTGCAGCTGGTGCTGGAGGAGCAGGTGCTGGCGCTACAGCAGCAGATGGCAGAAAACCAGGCAGCCTCCTGGCGGAAGCTGAAGAGCTCCCAGGAGGCCCAGCAGAGGCAAGCAGTCCTTGTGAGGAAGCTGCAGGCCAAGGTGAGGCAGCTGCCCTTTCATAGAAGGGAAAAGAGAACACCTCCTAGAGCTGGGTGCTAAGGTCGGGTAAGGGTTGCAGGAGGCAGAACCATGTGGTGGGTATGTCCCAGCCTCTCCTTTGATGCTTACAATTATGCCATGAGATGTATGTTATTTCCCTTTTAAAGATGGCATTCATGAGGGTTAAATTAGTTGTCTAGGTTTGCTTCTCTAGTCTGGAGCTTGGACCTACCACAGGTTTTCTCGTTCCAAAGCCCATGATCTTGCCTTTAATACAAGAGTTCTAGAGAAACTATTATTTAGAAACTATAAAAATGTTATGGCCTTACCTCAATATCCTCACCCAGTCCCCCGTTCACAGCAGGTTTGCCCAAGATTCTTGGGGCCTTCGGTTTGGGCAGTTTGTACCCACTTTGCCCATTGCTCTCATCCTGCCCTGTTTGCTTCAGGTATTGCAGTACCGGAACTGGTGCCAAGAGCTGGAGAAGCGGCTGAAAGCCACTGGGGTGAGAAAGGCTGTTCCTTGCTCCCCTAAGCCCTCAGTGAACAGGCTTGTCAGGCTTTTCTTGCTGAGAGGGTCTGAGTGTGATAAGGCGTGTTTGATAGAAGCCTCTCTTTCTTCAGCCCCAGAGAGTTTTGTCACGCAGATACCTTCTTGGACCTAGCTACTCCTGGCCTGTCAGACTTCAACCCTTGGCTCTCTAAGGACAAAATGCAACTTCAGGAGACTTAATCAGATTGGAAGGGTTATGGAATCAGAGGGAAGAAATACATTTTTCCTCCAGAAGGTGTCAGTGTTTATCTGTTGTAGAGAGAGGGATGCCTTTGCAGACCTGAAAACCATGTTTGTGGTGTGTTGGCTAGGTAGAACTGGCTTTGAGAGACTCATTTGCCTTTGTTCCAGCTCCCTCTCAGCATCTTCTCACATTCCCCTTAGAAAAGTTTCCTCAGAGGAAGGAAAGAACCAAAACTTACTCAGTGCTAGTCTATGTAGGTCAGGCTCCCTAGGCATTGTCATGTAATTGTCACTTAATCTGCAGAGCAACTTTCTGAGGGGAATGATATTGTCTTCATTTTGTAGCTGAAGATGCTGTGGTTCGGAGAAGTTGAGTAACTTCCCAAGGTCCAAAAATTGGTGTGGTAGAAGTCAAGGCCATCAGTGAAAGATGTATCTTACTCTTCTTAGGTTGAAAGTCCTTTACCAATGCCATCCTTCAGAAGTCATGGGTTCACTTTTGGAGCGAGGGTTGTGGTAGACTTATTTTCAGGATGCAGTGGTTGAGCAGAAAGCCATATTGCTAACAAAGGGAAGAAAGAATTAAAAGAAAGCTGTGGAAGGGGGCACAGGGAATTGGTGTGAGTGATGCTCTCTTTGGAAGTAAATAAGGTTTGTCTCTGTCTGGCTAAGGGACCAATCCCTCAGATGTGGGACAGTGTGGAGGAGCCAAACCTGGAACAGCTGCTAATCCGATTGGAGGAGGAGCAACATAGGTGATGGACCCCAAATTCTCTGGCCTGGGTGCTTGGCCAGTGGGTGGAGAAGGCTGATGGGAAACCTCTGTGCTGAGGGCTAGCATTAATTAGACCATGGCCTTTCAGCCTTCCCCCTCCAGTCCTGGCAATGGAAAATTCCAGGGGTTGTCATCTTACTCCAAGAAGTCCAGTGGCTGGACCGGACCTTCATTTTGCTCTTGCTGCTCCCCCTCCCCAGTGCAGGTGTGAGAGTCTGGCAGAGGTGAACACCCAGCTTCGGCTGCACATGGAAAAAGCTGATGTGGCCAATAAAGCACTTCGGGAAGATGTGGAAAAATTGACGGTAGATTGGAGCCGGGCCCGGGACGAGCTGATGAGGAAGGAGAGCCAGTGGCGGATGGAACAGGAGGTAGGAGGGACAGGGAGCTGGGACTGTGAGAGGAGGGCTCACACTCTGGGCACTACCCTGGTCAGTGTTGGAAGGGGTTTACTTCAGGACTTGGATGGAGACTGGGCTGTCATCATTAAAGTCTGTGACCATCCTTACCACTCATGCTGGCAGCTTTGCCCTGCTTGAGTCTTCAGCTTAGTTCTATCCTTACCTGCTTAGTGAGGTTTTGCTGATAGATGACGTGACATTCAAAGCAAATCTGTTCCTGTGTAAGTGACTAGCTTAGGTTTTGGATGGATCTGAAAGTTGCTGACTCCCCTTGTCTGGAGATCTGCGTATGTAGGTGCTAAGGAGGTAGTTACTGAAATTGAATGAGGAAGAAAGACCAGATATGGACCCTGGGGAATTTTCAGATCCCTAATGTTTTCTGAGCCTTTACCCTGTGCTAGGAATAATGCTAGGTGATTTACATGTTATGTCACTTAATCCTTATTGTAAGTCTTGTAATAGATCCCATTTGTTGAGCAGCTATGTTTCTCTTTTTCTCATCTGGTTCAGAGTGAGGCCATAAACCCAGGCTGTATATCCCAGGCCCTCTGACCTCTTGAATCCCTCTGCTAACTTGATTAAGCTCTTCAGCACAACTTGAGTATGGACACCCCTTTATAAGCTATCTCCTATAAGTCCCTCCTCCCCTCCATCTCAGTAGTCAGGAGGAATCCAAGACTCCTGTGTTGGCAAAAGATAACCCTCTGCCCTTTGGTATGACCTGGGTTTCTGGACACACAGTTCTTCAAGGGCTACCTGAAAGGGGAGCATGGTCGCCTTCTCAGTCTATGGCGGGATGTGGTGACCTTCCGACGCCACTTCCTGGAAATGAAGTCAGCCACTGACAGGTTAGTGGGGCACTAGGGAGGGAAGAGGTTTGCCTCTACCATTCTGGACTTAGGACAGTGGGCTGCTGTTGAAGGGGATCAGATGACAGGTGGGGGCGAGTGGGTGAGTGGAAGAGTTGGGGGGAGGCTGGTGTTACTGTATTCAGATGTTTTTCCCCAGACTTTCTCCTTAGGTTTCACTGGGCCTGATCCATGCTCCCTTCCCTGGTCCCTATTGGAGCCTGTTCTTTCCTTGCTTGTACTCAGAGACCTGACAGAGCTCAAGGCTGAACATGTGAGGCTTTCAGGATCCCTATTGACCTGTTGTCTGCGCTTGACTGTGGGAATTCAATCTCAGGAATCTGATGGATCTGGGAGACTAGATCGGGGGGAGCCAACGCAGCTGCTGCTGCTACTAGCCAAGACCCAGGAGCTGGAGAAGGAAGCCCATGAAAGGAGCCAGGAGTTAATACAGCTGAAGAGCCAAGGGGATCTGGAGAAGGCTGAGCTTCAGGATCGGTGAGATGGGCTAGGGTCCAGAAAGCGGTCCCTCAGGGGAAGGTGACTCCCGTAGGGTGTTAGAGATAGGTGGAGGAGATGTGAAGAGCATTCCTCCCATGAAAGGGGAAAGAGATGTGCCAGAGGGAGTCTAGTTTGAAACCCAGAGCCACAGCTTGGGTCATGTCACTGCCCTCTACCCTCAGACTAGCTTGCAGCTCAGTTTCTTGCCCGTTGACTTACAGAGCTAGCTATGACTCTGTCCTCTGTCATGACCAAACTACTTGCTGTTCCCAGATGGGCCAAGCGTTTCCATGCTTCGCTGCCATTGTATATGCTGACCTTAATCTGGAATGCCTCCTTCCCTTCTCTCTCTACCTTATCCTTTAGGACATAGTTCAGATGTCACCTCTTCTGTGAAGCCTTATCTGACCTCAATAGCCTGTTAAATTACTATGCCTCGATGTGGTCTTTTGGCCTGTTTGTTATAGCCTTGAGCTCATTATATCTCATTGATTATTTAGTTTCCTTTTTTATTTTTTGGATTATAATAAAATAGATTTATTATTATTATTATTATTTTTAATGATGATAACAAAGACAGGGATCTAAGCAAAGAGCTCATTTAAATCTCAGGGCAAAGTTCAGTTTATACCCCATGGCCAGGGTTGTATCACCATCTATTGGTGTAGTCCATAAATTGCAGTTTGTTTGGTTTGGTTGTGAAACCCCTGGGAAGCACCATAGATGGTTTCTTAGTAAGTTTTGTGTCTCTAGTGCTTTGCACTTCTTCTGCCATATAGCAGACACTCAATAAATGTTTGTTGAATGATGCAGTAATTAAATTAATGACCATTTAGTGAATTAAGGCTCTTAGAGTTGGTATAAAATAAATGATTAAGACTTTGAAAAAAAATTTAGACTCCTGGATGATGTTAATTCAAGAAATATTTCTTTAGCTTCCCATATAACACCAGGTACTGAGCTCCAGGATATAGTGTTAAAGTGATAAAGATGTGTGGTGATCTTCCTGAACTTTGAGATTTATATCAGAGAGGTTGACCATAATCCTCCCAAGTTGCCCCTCTTTTTTCCCTATCAAAGTGAGAACCTTGGGCTGGAGGGACCGTGGGACTATCCCATGTGGCAATTCTGATGTTCTCATTGACTTCAGGGTGCTTGACTTCAAGATCAAGCGGGGCCTGGAAGGGCATGGGCCAGGGCTTACCTTCAGCTCTCAGGCCCCCAAACACGTGTTCCGGCCTTGAGATGTGGTAAATCCCTGCATGTGTCTGAGTGGCTTTTGGCTTCCCCGCAGTTCAAAACTATAGCATCCTGTGGTATTCAGGGAGTGCAGGGGCTGCGGGCACCCGGGACCCTGTGGGGGCTGCAGTGGGAGTGTCTGTATTGGGGATGGGGTGTGCTGCATAGTAGCTTTGTCCTCTCAGTGGGCTGCCCAGGTGACAATGCTGTGCTCTTCTCTTCAGGGTGACTGAGCTCTCTGCTCTTCTGACCCAGTCCCAGAAGCAAAATGAAGATTATGAAAATATGCTGAAGGCTCTGAGAGAGACAGTGGAGATCCTGGTACATGATCCTTTGTTCTGGAAAGGAGGTGGGAGTGGACCTGTAGATTCCTTGTCCTTCATGGACAGGTAGTGCAGCGTACCAGTTAAATCTTCCTTGATGAAATCCCCTAAAGCTAGAAAGTAAATTTTGGCTGAACTTGAAAATTAACTCATTCATTTATTCATTCGAGAAATATTAACTGTTTACTATCCCTACTGTATTCCTTGGGAGACTACAATGGTATATACACACAGTGTGGCCTTATCAGAGACAGTGGGACACACACTAAGGGCACACTGGCAAACTAGGAATGGAATGTGTGGAGAGATTCAAAACCTAGTCATAAGGGAAACAACTGAGGAGTGTGGCAAGGTTAGCCCAGAGAATAAAGGGCTTGGGGAAGCCGTGATGGCTGCCTTCACGTATCTGAAGGACTGACACTGGGGAAAGAGTTGACTTGTTTAATGTTTTCCAGATGGGCACAAGCAATGTCAATGGCTAGAAGTTACAGGGTGGTAGGGCTTGGCTCACAGCCAGCACTGTTCAGTAGTTGAATGATCTGTCTTGGGAATGCGTGAGGTTTGTGTCACTGGCTTAACATCTGCTGGGGCTGTTACCAAAGGGATTCTCTCAGGTTGGGCGTTAGAACCTCTGGCTTGGTCCCACATTTCCTTTCATCTCTAAGAATTTTTAGATCTCTGATTTTAGGTAGATCTTGAATGCTTATCCACATGTATACCCCTAATCTTCTCATCCTAGCTGGGGTCAGCTGGGAGCTGGACATGTTTTTGCCTTTTTGGTTTCTGTTTGTCAGGAATTTGCAGATTCAAATGTCCGCAGGCCCAGGTAAGGTAAAGTGAAGGAAGTCGGTCAGCAGTAAGAATTCTGGTTTTTCCAGTGCTGCCATATTTAGTTTTTAGTGGAGGGGACACTTGATCTCCGTGTTAAGGAAACAATGAGGAGTAGCAGGGACTGCAGGACCCTGAAGAATACATGTTTCATCTGAAAGAGGTGTTTGCGGCCCAACTTAAGTAAATTATTGCCATGTAGTAATGAGGGCTGGTGTGGCCCATTTGTTAAATTTTTGAGAAGCCAGAAATTCAGATCTCCGTTCATAAAATCTCTCAATTTTGCAAATGTTGGTTCAACAAAACACCACTGCAAGTCTATGTCCCTGGGCCTTCACTAACATAGTGTGATAGGAAGGAAGAGAGGAAATCTTGAGTCTTCAAGTTCATTGCTAGCTCTGAGGCTAGGGGTTTCTCTGGTTGAACCTTTTGTCTCAAGCACCATTTTGCTGCTTAGAGACAGTAGCCATCCTCCAGTGGCAGCTCACATTTATTGAGCATTTGCTTTGTGCCAGTAGTTTACATGCAGTTTTTCTATTTAAGCCTCAAAACCTGTGAAGTAGATGCTGCTAATTATTTGCATAAGAAAGAGAAGGAAGTTCAAAGGAGCAGTTACCTAAAGTTACCAAGCCAGTAAGTGAGAGAACAAGAACTCTAATCTAGGCAGTCTACTTTGGAGCTCTTATCACTAATCTGAGCTCTTGATCACCACATCCTATCATCTTCAGAGTCCTGGGACAATGTTAGCATTCATGTGTGGTCAGGGGACAAGTGGGATTGACAGAATATACAGAATGAGACTAGCTGATTTGGGGCCTGGAATGAGAAATTCTTTTCTGAGAGTGTGGCTCTTAGGCTCTATTTTGTTCCCCATTCAGGAGACAAATCATGCAGAATTAATGGAACATGAGACATCTCTTAGTAGGAATGCCCAAGACGAGAAGCTGTCTTTACAGCAGGTGATCAAGGATATAACCCAGGTACTGGTAGGCCTCCTGCTCATGGTAAGCAGGTTATGCCTCACTCCTCCCCAGGCTTCTCAGTCATGCCTGCATTTCCACTCTCTGAGGTGTTTGGACTTAGGATCTTATGGGGATGATTTCTCTGAGCATATTTGAAGGCTGGAACCTAAGAGCGTTCCTGTGTTCTCACTGTCTGCTGGAACAGGCCCTCTCTTATGCCCAGTGGTAATTCTCAGGCCAGTGGCAGGACTCTGGCCTACATTACCTCAAGAGCCTCCTCTTCCTTCATTTCTTCATTTGTTACCTCAGAGAGTGCTCTAGTCTTGTTGCTAGTCCTAGGTTTGGGCGATGGAAGGTGAAGAGTTGAAGGAACCAACCTATTTTCCTCTTAGATACCCTCTTTCCACTCCCCAGGGAGACGACCCGAGAAGGAAACCATCTTGTTTGTCCAGGCTGTGGTGTTGGTCCCCTGTGTGGACTCTAGGCCTTGCTCACGAGGGTGGTGACCCTGCTGTGTTGGATTTCAGGTCATCGTGGAAGAAGGGGACAGTATGTCCCAAGGCTCTGGTCATGAGAGCACCTTGGAGCTGGACTGTGGTGACTTCTCCCAGTTTGATTCCCAGAACCCAGATAAGGCTCTTACTCTGGTGCGTTCAGTGCTGACTCGGAGACGGCATGCTGTGCAGGTGAGACCCCAGATTCCTCCTCAGCCATAGGTGTGGGTATCTAAAGTGACTTGTGCCCCAGTTGCCCTCCTAGCCTGGACTGCCCCTTTCACTCTGTTGACTACTCATGAGGTGTTTTGTCAACACCCCAGAGTGCCCATTAGAATCTCTGTGTCTGCCCAGTTATGCTTGTGGGTAACAGGCACACTCTCTGTGCCAGTGAATGCAAAGATTGGCGATCGAAGTCCTGGGAGAGTACAGGTGAGTGTTCCCCAATTCTAAGCCCCCACACACACTGTGCATGAACTCTGAGACTAGGAGCCACAGAAGCCCAGTAATCTCTCATCCTTTGTCTTTTTGACTGGTCACATCTCTTCTTAGCTTACTCGTGTTGCAGCAGCCCCCAAGCCTCTTGCCCAGCCCTACGATCAGACTTCTGACACCCTCCTTTCCCTTCCCTCTTGTTCACCATCCCACTTCTGTTACTCTCCCTGCACAGGACCTAAGGCAGCAGCTTTCAGGCTGTCAGGAAGCTGTGAGCTTCTTGCAGCAGCAGCATGATCAGTGGGAGGAAGAAGGTGAGGCCTTGAGACAGCGGTTACAGCAGCTCACTGGGGAGCGGGACACTCTGGCAGGGCAGACTGTGGACCTCCAGGGAGAAGTGGACTCACTTAGCAAGTGAGCTGGGGACTGCTCATTCACCCTTCCTCTCTGGGCTTAGTCCTCACCTGGCCATTTACCCTCTCCCATCACGTTTCTGGTTGGCTGGCCCTGCTCTCCCTTAAGCTCAGGGCTGCCTGGCTTTGTGCTCTGCTTGTTCCTACTCACTCAGTTTTGGGTTCTTGTGATGATAGAAAGTATCTGCTCAAAAGGGAAGATGAGATATGTAAAGGAAACAGATGTCTCTGTCCTTTGATTCTATGATGTCTGCTTCCAGGAAGGACTCTAGGTTCCAAGGTCTCTGCTCATCTCTGGCCTCCTTCTTCCAGGGAGCGAGAACTCCTGCAGAAGACCAGGGAAGAGCTGCAGCAGCAGCTGGAGGTGCTGGAGCAGGAGGCATGGCGCCTGCGAAGGACAAACATGGAACTGCAGCTGCAGGGGGACTCTGCTCAGGGCGAGAAGGAGGAGCAGCAGGAGGAGCTGCACCTAGCTGTCCGAGAGAGGCAGCGCCTGTGAGTGTGACCAGTCCCCTCCTCACTGGGACTTGATCTTCCCTTCAATTCCACACCCTCCTCCACCCACTCCCCTCTCTTAGAAAGTAGAGTGAATTGAAGCCTGGCGTGCAGTGGGTTCAGATTAGCTTACTGCTCTTTCCTTTGCAGAAAGATGACTACAGAAGTTTCATCCAGGCTTTGCCCAGCACCTGTAAGGGATGAGGCACTGTGGGGGATACAGAAATAAGGAAAACACAGGCCCTAATCTCAAGCAGTTTGCAATGTGATGGTGAAGACAAAGAACTAACTGTGGCATGAGGCCAGATGAAGTATGAGCTAAATAAGAGTTTCAAGCCAGGAGCATAGGAGTAACAGTTAATTATTGAAACTTCATGGAGGAGAGGGTAGCCTTTGAGCTGGGCCTTGCCATGTTTTGATTTGTAGAGAGTGAGAGAAGTGTTAAAGGAACAGATTAGCAAAAAAAGAAGGCAGAAGGTTCATGGCGTGACTAAAGGGAAGGGAAGGACTTACCCTAGGAAGTAATGAGAAATGAGCTGGTCAAGAAAGAGAGTTCCAGAGTAAAGCACCCAGCTAATCTGTAAAAAGCAAGACAAGGTCTTTTAAGCTGGGCCAAAGCTTGGTTTAAATTATGGCTCTGCCACTTGGACAGGTAACTTTATTTGTAAGATGGGGACAATAGTATTTACTTTGAAGGGTCATTGGGAAGATTAGAGAAGCGTTTTGCAAAATGTCAGCAAAGAGCCTGGCATATGGTAGGTTCTGAGTAACGGGTGGCAGGGACAGTGTCTTCTCCACCTTTGGTGTGACCCCTCCTCCCCGGTGCCCTACCTCCTTGCACCTAGTAGGAACCAAGAGTGAAATCTTGAAGGATTACTGTAAGGATCATGATTTGTATGAGGAATGATGCTTCCTGGAGAAGAACTAACAGTCCACAAAAATAATCACGTTCTTTAATTTATTTGAATCAATAATACTTTTATCAATATTTATATGATTCAAAAATCAAAACTATTTAAAAGATATGCACAGAGAAAGTCTACTCCCCTCTGCTTCATTCGTCCCATTTCCCTTCTCTAGGTGATCATTTAAATTAATTTCTTGGTTTGCTATATGGAAATTGTGCATAATTCTTATTTTCCCCAATTTCTTGCATACACTTCATACATTGTTCTGCATCTTGCTGTTTTCATTTTATATGTCTCGGAGATCTCATCACTTATTAGAGACCTTCAGTTTCTTTGCATAGCATAGGTAATTATATTCCTGTTACCTTTCGGCGAGTGGCCACTCCTTAAGACTTCCTCTAGCCCCCTCTCCTTCCCACCTTAGTCAGGAGATGCTGGCGTGCCTGGAAGCCAAACAGTCAGAATCACTCAGTGAACTGATCACTCTTCGGGAAGCCCTGGAGTCAAGTCGCCTGGAAGGGGAGTTGCTGAAGCAAGAGCAAACAGAAGTGACCGCTGCGCTGGCTAGGGTACGTAGGCCTCCCCCTCCATTCTGGGGGGAGAGCCGAGTAGAAAGTTGTGTTCCTAGGAAAAGGTTATGCAGCCTGCCTCGTTCTTCACCCTGCGAGCCATGACCCTTTATATTTCTTGCCTCAATTACTAGTCTTTGCTTTGGGTTCTTTCCCTCCCAGTATACTCTCTGTATTGGAATTAGAATGGTTTTCTGAAGTATAAATTGGCTTTCAGTCTCTTTTCTAAAACCATTTAGTGGCTTCCTGGCTCCTTGATGCTGCATTCAAAGCCCTTTTCTATCTGCCCCAAACTGTTTCTAGCACTAATTGCAATCTCCGTTTCACCGTGTTCTTTCATGACTAATACTTCGCATGTGTTACTGCTTCTTTCCTCTCCCTTTAACCACAAACTGTTCCTCATCTCAGCAGTACCCAACTTGTCAACTCTTCTACCAAACATATTTGATTCTCCCAAACTGAATCAATGTTTTCTTTGCATTCCCAGAGCATTTGGCTTACATTGTCTACGGTGGTGTTCCAGTTGTAGTTGTTTACACATCCCACTGTCTGTAAGCCTCTTTACTGTAAGCTCCTCTTACAACTTAATGAATGAAGAAATGAATGAAGGGAAAACTTGGTCAGAATGTAAGGGAAGGAATGGAGTGTTAACTAATCTCTGTGCAAGGAAAGCAGCAGGCATTGGGGATATGAGCTGGTGCAGGAGAACTGGAAGTAGGAAACCCTTTGACTCTCTTTGTATTTAGGCTGAACAGTCCATTGTGGAGCTGTCGAGTTCTCAGAACAGCCTGAAGGCTGAGGTAGCTGATCTTCGGGCTGCAGCTGCCAAGCTCAGTGCCTTAAATGAGGCGTTGGCCTTAGATAAAGTTGGGCTGAACCAGCAGCTTCTCCAGGTGAGCAAAGATGTTTCTGATACACGGGGTAGGGCTGGGCCCTGACTGAGGGTAAGCCAGTGACAGAAGCAGCTGATATCCATGATAAGGAAGAGTCCTTAAATGGATCAGCCCAAGACAGATCAGCTCCCAACTGTAGTTCTGAAATGAGCAGAAGCAGCATTTATGGTGCAGAGGAGAGCAGACTGTAAGGACTGGGCTGTTAGCCATTAAACTACGCCCCTCCTGCACCTACAGCAGATCCACCTTTGGGCTTTAGGGTAAAATCACCAGGGCTAGAAAGGAGGCCCCTGCCCTCAGGAAGGAAGACTAGGTTTTTATTTTTTAAATTTATATTTATTAGCAAACAAATGAAATGACACCTCTAGATCTCAACACATATAGGATCTTATATAATAAACATCACAAACACAGAAAGACTAGGGTGTGTTTTCCTAATTGTTGACAGTACTACAGACAACCCCCATTTCCCTCCCTTTGTTTCCCTCCATACAGTCCTACCTCACCCCAGGCCTTTACTACATTATTGTCCGTGTCCACTGGCTGTGCATACATGCATATATGTTCTTTGGTTAATCTCTTCCCGACCCCCATCCCATCCCATGTCGTCCCCCCGCACTCCCCTCAGATCTGTCAGCCTGTTCCATGCATCCATGCCTCTGGACCCATTTTGTTCATCAGTTTATTTTGTTCATTAAGGAAGACTAGGTTTTTAATCCTCTTGCATGAGATACCAGCAATCACCAGAAAAGGGTTTGCTGAAGAGCCTAAGTCTCAAAGAATCTTCTCTATGGGTTGTGAATTTAACATGTCTTTTTGCTACCTGTTTCCTTGAGCCCCAGAAATCTTCAACGTTTTCTAATTCTGAATTTTTTGAGAATAGAATTTTGCCTTTTTTCTCTCTCTCTCAGACATCAATCCATCTAGTACCTAGAATAGACCAAATGAATGCATAGTCCCCTCTCTTATAAGCACTCCTGTGTTCATCTTTGGAGAATAGATTCATATCTCACTTGGATTTCTGTCTCAGCACTTGATCTCTAAACTATAACCGTTTGTCTTTGATGCCCTTCCCTTGTTGGTCAGTAGTTAGAACAGGAGAACCAGTCTGTGTGCAGCAGAATGGAGGCTGCAGAGCAGGCAAGAAATACTTTGCAAGTGGGCCTTGCAGAGACGGAGAGGAGCAAGGAAGCCCTGTGGGAAAATAACACTCACCTGGAGGCCCAGCTGCAGAAAGCAGAGAAGATGGAGGCTCAGCTGCAGGCAGATCTCAGGGGGATCCAAGAAGAGAAGGAAGACCTTCAAGAGAAACTAAGTGAGGTGAGAAGACAAAACACATACCATCACATTAAGGTATAATACACTCATTGTAAAACACTACAGAGATGATTCAGAAAGTGATAGTCTTACTTCCTAGAAATGACCAATGTTACTAGTTTGGGATATACCTTCCAGCTGTTAAAAGGAATTCCTGTAGGAATCCTTCAGTGATTCCCCACTATTCCACACCTCCAGTTTGAATTAGATGCCTCTCCTGTATGCTCTGTTAGGACCTTGTGCACATTTCAACCACCACATCTTCATACTATATTATAATTATCTGTTTACATGTCTCTACCATTAAAGCACAAGCTCCTTGAAGGCAAGGCTATGACTTATTTGTGTTCCTCCAGCTTTAGTACAGTGTCTAACACATAGCAGGGGCTCAGAATTTTTCTGAACCAATGACCTACCTCAAAGGTCATCTTTCTTCTCCACCACACTTCTCCTTGCCCTAATAATTATAAGTAATAATCCCCCTTCTCAGAACCCCTTTCTTGGGGCACTGATCACTTTCTTCCTGGTATCATGCACGTGTCTTCTCCTTAAAACTAAAAGCTCCTTAGAGGTAGGTCTCTTGCAGCCCTAGCACAGAGTCTTGCTCAAAGGAGAGTATGCTTCCTCTCTGGGGGCTCTATGGGTTGATAGAGAAATACATTAATGCCACTGGGTATGAGTGGGCAATGCCCAGGCCTCACAGAGCAGATCCAGAATCTCTGAGGAGCCAATGGTCCCAACCTGTGATGGCAGCTCTTGGGGAAATCCTACCTCTGCTCTGAATCTCACCAATTTCTTCCCCTCAGGCACATCACCAGCAGGAGGCAGCCTCAGCTCAGCTGGAGCAACTATATCAGGAGGCAAAGCGACAGAAAGAAGTGCTGGCCCAGGAAGTTCAGGAGAAGGAGGCCCTTGTACGAGAGAAAGCAGCTCTAGAGGTGCGGCTGCAGGCTGTGGAGCGTGACCGGCAGGATCTCTCTGATCAACTACTGGGGCTCAGGTAGGGCCAGACCTAGTTCACCCAAGGGCAGAAGGAGCTTTTCAAGGCAAAGGGTAGCCAAGCTAATTTCCCTGCCCTAACTATATGGGTTCTACATGACTTAGGAATTTGTAATTGCCACCCTAACTTCTCCAGGTAGCCAGTACTTAGAACCCAACTTCTCTTAAGGAAGGGTAAGGGACTTGATAGGTAAGAACTTTTTCTGATTCCTGAACCTGACAGCTCAGCCAAGGAACTGCTGGAGGGCAGTCTGTTTGAGGCCCAACAACAAAATTCTCTGATAGAGGTCACCAAGGGGCAGCTGGAGGTCCAGATTCAAACTGTCACTCAAGCCAAGGAAGTAATCCAAGGTAAGAACCCAAGTGGAATGGGCACTTTGTTCCATGGGGATGTTGAAAGCCAGGAAGGCAGGGGGAAGCTATTAGAGGTCTTCTCCAGCCAGGTCCAGTGCCTCTAAGATGGGAGTTGCTCATGAGGTCTGGGGAGGGGAGTTTTTAAAAGGAAGAGAGCAGAGACTCAGAGACTAGATCCTGTCTCTGGCATCTTAGGGGAAGTAAAGTGCTTGAAGCTGGAACTGGACACTGAACGGAGCCGGGCAGAGCAGGAGCGGGATACAGCAGCCAGACAGCTTGCCCAGGCTGAACGAGATGGGCAGACTGCTCTGCAGCAGCTGAAGTCAGCCCATGAAGAGGAGGTGAACCGGCTCCAGGAGAAATGGGTAGGTGGTGGATGTGGCTAGGGGATGGGAGAGGCTGGCCTGGCCTCCCTTCAGTGAGTGCTCTACCTGCTGACTCTTGGTCCAGATATTACTACTTATGAGAGTGAAGTATGAATAGGACTAGGCTGGTTACCAAAGTGCAAACTATAGCTTCTAGCTCTTAAAAAATTTTTATCTTTCCCCTGGCCAGGTGTGGCTTAGTGGTTGAGCGTCTACCTAGGATCCAGGCAATCAGGGTTCGATTCCTGGTCAGGGCACATGTCCAGGTTGCGGGCCCGATCCCCAGTCGGGGACGTGCAGGAGGCAGCCGGTCAATGACTCTCTCATCATTGATGTTTCTATCTCTCTCTCTCTCTCCTTTCCTCTCTGAAATCAATAAAGATATATTTTTAAAAAAATAAATTTATCTTTCAATTATAGTTTATATTCAATATTATTTTATATTAGTTTCAGGTGTATAGTTTTTAGACAGTCATATACTTTACAAAGTGATCCCCCATATTTCCAATACCCACCTGGCACCATGCATAATTATTACAATGTTAGTGACTATATTTCCTATGCTGTACTTTATATCCCCATGACTGTTTTGTAACTGCCAATTTGTACTTCTTAATTCCTTCACCTTTTTTACCCAGCCCCTTAACCTCTCTCCCTTCTGGCAGCCAGCAGTCTGTTCTCTTTATCTGTGAGTCTGTTTCTATTTTGTTTGTTCATTAATTTTATTCTTTAGATTCCACATATAAGTGAAATCATATGATATTTGTTTTTCTCTAACTTATTTCACTTAGCGTGATACCCTCTAGTTCATCCATACTCTCACAAATGGTGAGATTTCATTCTTTTTCATGGCCAAATAATATTTCACGGTATATATTTACCACAACTTTTTTATTCACTTGTCTGTTTTTGGACACCTGGGTTGCTTCCATATCTTGCCTATTGTAAATACTGCTGCAATGAACATAGGGGTGCATATATTCTTTTGAATTAGTGTTTTGGGTTTCTTTGGTCTGGCTTCTAGCTCTTAAATAAATAATATATAAAAAGACATTAAGAACAATTCCTGACATATAGTGAACTCTATTTGTGTTAGCTGTTATTGTTGCAGTATGTACAGAGAATTAAGAGTGGATTCTGGGATTTTAAATTGTTAAACTGGCCCCAGGATGGAAAGGGAGCAGAGGAATGCCTTGGACCCATTCTTGCCCAATTCAGAACTGTGTTTCTTTGTCTTTTAATTAGATAATTTAGTCCACTTTCTTTTTTTGTAATTGTAAGTATATTTGGGTCTATTTCCACTATCTTATGCTATTTGTCCAGCCTTTTTATATCTTTTGGGGAGGGGAGATGACCTTTCTTAACTTCTTTTAGAGGGTTAAATTGGATGATTAAGTTGTAGTCTTTTTCTCACCTCTTTTTTCTCTCTACTGCATTGGAAGATATGTACTCTATTTTTTCATTCTTTTAGTTGTTTCCTTTAATATTTTAAAATATATACTTAAAATCTCAAGTAGGATCAAATATATGGTTATAGAAGGAAACTAGACTTTGGGTGGTGAACACACAATAGAGTATGCAGATAATGAATTATAATGTCGAAATTTATGTAATGTTATTAACCAGTGTTACCTCAATAAATATAATTTTTTTAAAAAACCCGTAGGTTAATCAGTGTATTTACCTTTTTCCTCAATGACATGGGAGCATGCAGAATATTTTACCTGCATTCACTCCTCTTGATCTATGTACAGTTTTGCTCACGATGATGGTGATGACAATAGATATTAAATTCTGAATGCTTTCCATGTGCTAAGCACCATTTAAAGTGCTTTACGTGACTTATCTTAATCCTCAAAACAACCCTAAGAGGACACAGTTGTTATCCCCATTTTTCTAGACAAGGAAACTGAGGCATGGAGATGTGATAGAATTTAGCTGAGTCATACTAGTAGTGTTGGACTAAAGACTAACCTAGGCAGCCTGGCTCCAGAGCCCTTCACCACTAATAGGGTACTGGGTAGTCTGCGGGGTCAAGGAAGGCTTTGGTCACTGGTGGACCTCTGGGAGGACCAGGGTGCTCATCTTCGTGCTCTTGTATAATACAGGAGACACCTTCGCAAGGCTCGACCTGACTTCTCAGAAGGCCAACTCTGCCACCCTGAGCAGGGAAGAGTGGGCAACAGAGAGCAAGTCCGCCACCTCAGTTCGTTGTTGCAGCTGTGAACCAGGATGTGGTTGCTTTAAAATAACGGATACTCGTAGCTTATATTAGGTATAGTTGCACTTTAGAAAGCACTTTTATGTGTGATACCGTTTGATTTTTTTAAAATGTCATTTGATTCTCATAAAGCTTGGTGAGATAGGGAAGGCAGAAGTCATTAGCCTCACTTACAGATGAGGAAGCAGGCTTAGCGCGGCACCAAGGTGGCAGCTGGTGAGCAGTGGGCTTATTCGCATCCAGTCTCCTTCTGCCTCCTCTCCCCACCCATTTGTTTCTGACAGTGTTTCCTTTGTATGACCAGGAGAAAGAGTGCTCCCAGCACCAGCAGGAACTGGATAAGGCTCTGAAGAACCTAGAGAGGCAGAAAGTGGAGCTGGAAATGAGGCTTAGGGAGCAGCAGGCAGAGACCGAGGCTCTCCGGACCCAGAAGGAAGAGGAGCGGGCCGAGGCCGAGAGCGCCCTATGCCAGGTGGGAGGCATACCTACCTACATTCCCCCTGCCTCTTCCTCTTCCACTTCCAAGAGCAGTGCCACTGGGGCTTCTAGAAAAGAATGTAGCTACCCACTTTGCTACCCGCGAGCTGGCCTATCAGCAGCATTAGCTGCAGGGCCAGCAGTATGTCATACTTCCTGAGGGAGGGCTGACGTTACCACATCCTGTCAGCTTGAAAACCAGAGGCAATCTTTGCACTTCCTGGTTCTCAGTGAGTAGATCCAGACCTTCCTTTGCCCTCAGCCCCCACCCCATTTGCCGGAAGAGCCATAGAGCAGCTGGAATATGCTGGTGGCCTAGTGGGTGAGCATGGTGACCTCGCTTCAGCAAGCCCTTGCCCTCCTGACCCTCCACAGATGCAGCTTGAAACAGAGAAGGAGAGGGTGTCTCTCCTGGAGACACTGCTGCAGACCCAGAAGGAACTGGCAGATGCCAGCCAGCAACTGGAACGGCTGAGGCAGGACATGAAGGCTCAGAAGTTAAAGGAACAGGTATGGAGGGTGGTCTTGGGCAGGGAAGAAAAGGGAACTTGGATTTACTCATTCAACACTGCCAGTTCTTCTTTGGCACTTCTTCGGGCCAGGCCCTGCGCTGGGTGCTGATACATGACAAGCATAACGGTGTGGCAGGCAGTGAACTCGTGGTCCCTGCCCTCAAGGAGCTGACATTCTAGTAGCAGAGACAGACAAGGATGAGCAGACCAAAAAAAGGAGATAATTACAGGTGATAATGAGCGCTGTAAAGGAAATGAGTAAGGTGATATAATTGAATGTAATTGAGAGTGATTCAAAGGTGGCCACTGGACAAGGTGGTCAGGGAGGACCTCACTGAGAAAGTACATTTGAGCTGAGACATGAGGTTAAAAAGCCCTGTGTAACAATAGGGGTGAATCTTGAAAACATTATGCTAAGTAAAAGAAGCCAGTCACAAGAGGCCATACAGCATTGATAGGAAATGTCCAGAACAGGCCAGTCTATAGAGACAGCGAGTAGATGAGTGGTTGGGAGTGAGAACAGGGGATGGGGAGCGTACAGGTTTCTCCCTGGGGTGATGAAGATGTTCTAAAGTCAGTTGTAATAGTTGCAAAACTCTGTGAAAACACTGAAAAATGTTGAATTTTACGCCTTAAATGGGTGAATTGTATGGCATGTGAATTATATCTCAATAAAACTGATAAAAAGCAAAGAAGCCAGCCATTTGAAGAAGAGTTTAGGCAGAGGAAGTAGGCATCATAAGGGCCCGCAACACAGCAAAGGGATTAGGGAGTTCAAGGGCAGAAAGGAGGTGGCGTGGTGCCAGTGTGATAAGCTCAGGGGTGAGTGGAGAGATAGGCAGGAGGCCTTACCGGCCATGGTAGGAGCCTAGATTTTGTTCCAAAGACTGTGGAAAGCTGTTCAATGGTATTTAAAAAGGAGAGAAGAGCATAATTTAGTATATATATATATATATTCTAAAATACTTTATTGTTGAATGGAGAAATGTATGTATGTGTGTGTGTATGCACACATGCATGTATGGCGTGGTGATATGAAGTAGAAGTAGGGCTATGTTGCAGTGGTCTGGCTAAGGGACTGCTGCCAACTCAGGGACCCTGACCGAGAAATCCTGGGTGAGCCAACGTACTCTGTGAGGGAGGAGAGGGAATAGGTGAGGAGTTGAGGGGCAAGGCATGACGGAAACAAGGTGGGTTGCTGGGTCCTGCCTCAACTTTTGCTAACCCAACTAAAAGATTAGTATTTATATGGCACAGATGTCTACAACATGAATTTCAAGATTCAGGCCCCTGTGAAAGCTCTCCTCTATTCACAGCTGTCTTCTCCCTTTGCAGGAGACCATTGGGATGCTGCAGACCCAGCTCTGGGAGGCTCAGCGGGAGCTGGATCAGGCAGCCCAGGAGCACAGAGATGATCTCACTGCCCTCCGAGAAGAGCGCAGCTTCCTGCTGCAAGATAAGACAGACCTGCTGAAGCAGGTCCCTCCTCTCTCTCCCAACCCCATAGCCCTTCCCCAACAAAGGCAGGCTGCCCCACTCCCTCCTGCAGGACAAAGGGAACCTTGGGAGCTTGGGAGGGGAACGGTAGGCCCCGGTACTGAGTGGGAGATTGAGGGATGCTCAGAGCTGAGCACGTGCCTCTTGAGCCCCCAGGGTAGTAATCTCTCTGTGGTGGCCACAGAACTTAGATTTTTCTCATGCAGGCACACTGTCAGTTGTTCTTCTTGTCCTCCCCATGGATCAGTATTTTTACCCAGATTGCTTTTTTAATTCTGATTGCTTTTCCTTCTCAGAATCCTATATCAGATGGTATTCTGATTATTTATTTTTAAAAATACAATCACTCTACACTTACCCATTACTTCACCTTTGGGTGTAGTTATATTCAGCCAAGATTTTTACTTGTGCCTGCCTTTATCCAGCATGTACGAGATTGGGAGACAGACGACTAAGCTGGATGCTATTGGGGGGGGGGGG